GTGGTTATATGCTTCAACTCTGTGTTCAGCTGCTTGTTGCTTCTGATCACTTATTCCGGTCCTGTGGTTCTTTCTGGTCTCAGGAACAGACCTGATCATTCACTTCAGCACGATTAACCCAGCAGAAATTCGTGACCGGTTTGCCTGTCTGTTCGTTGAAGCAACCATGTGGTTCGGCCAAACGTTGCCTACAGAAAACCATCGCAGAAACGGTTTCTGAAACTGGGTTCCTTGCATCCGGAAAGCAGAAGTTCTGTGAATACTATTGGCGCAGGCATAAGACGGTATTACAGATCAGTTCTGATGTTCATGTAGAAAGTTCTAGAGCCGAAACTGCGGAAGCAAATATTTTTCTGCACGAAGCTTCTCAAGTTCAAAGTGTCGAAGACCTGTATTTTTTTTCTGTGTAAGTTGCTCACTGTTGCCATTTAACTTTCTGGCATGCAAATACTGCCTTTTTCTGCTAGCAACGTTGTTGCCCAAGTGAATTAACTTCAACAACTTTTTTCTTTTGTAGTAATGTCGTTTAGGTTTCTACCATCCGTAATCTTATGTCGATATGATGCATAATATTCAATGCAATATCCTAGTACTTTTCCGGAAATACATGGTAAGGTCGCAGAAGGTAACTGGGGGACCGTCCCCTTGCTCATAGTCCTAGTAACCTAGGAGGCATTTTAAGTTGACTATGACTCGATAGTGTTTTAGCATCTGCATCATAAATATTTTATATTTAACATGTTAATGTTTAATGCAGTTATTAAATATGGTAAAATAACTTAATCAGTTAGTGTTTCGACGACCCTTGTCTGTCTCTGAGCTACGGCAGAACATTATCCGAGTCTGGAACATGGTCCATCGAGGCACTTGCCCAAGACATGCTTGACCTTCTTCGAAGTCTAAGGACGGCTGGTAGAGCAAGTAATCCTATTTCACATTCTTTTCTGGAGGTATTCGCAAGACGTGCTCATAGCATCGCAGCTGTGATTCCTTAGCCGTCTGCAGAAGCCGCGGCTGTGCACCGAAGCTGTCTCGACCAGGTGAATTCAGGAATCTGTCGAGACGCGTAGCCACGCACCGATTCGTCTGAAAAAAGTCCATTTCAGCCTCTTGTACCTGGGAATGCACTTTTTCAAGCTTATAGTGACAACCTAAATTTCTATGTTATTTGAACTCTCGTGCCCATATGAAACAACTCATCCGGTTTTAAGTTTTTGCGACTCGCAGTCGTTCCAATGCCAATTATTCTCTCCGTAATTGTAAATAAATCTGTTGACGCAAAGGTGCCAATAATGGAAATACTTCACTTCAGCCGCTGGCAGCCACAAACACCAGTCTGTCAGATTTCTGAAACGTCTCACTGCGGTTCCCCTGATTGCTGTCGGTTTATTTCTGTCGTTAAGTGACAATTTTTTAATAGTAATTTACCGCTTTCTTGACGTAGTTTTTTAGGTCCGTCGCGAACACTGAGTTGTTTGCTGGTTATGAGTGAAAAAACTCAACAAGCGATGTGATGGTTTGGAATGGCCGAATTGGCACCATGCTGCAAAAGCCATGCCATGCTTCGGCGGTGTTCGTGTTTGTTTCTGTGCGTTTCGCTGTCGTCGGTCACAGTCTCAACTGCCGAGGCACACTTGAACGGCTAGGAGACTCGTCGTCTCGTGTCAATCATCATCTGCACGACCGGATTACAACGCGAACAAATGTTCCGCTCATTGCGTACACGCAGACGCGGACGCGGACGTACGGCGTGGCGTGTCCCCCCGTACGTCGTTGCTGTCGAAACGCAGTTACCCTCGACGCGTCATTGTGGGGCTGACAACGACGTGTCGTGCCGCCCCGTCCCGTCCTATGGGTCGAGTTCGACGTGTGGCCCGGTTAAACGGCAACAAGGGCGTCATGTCATCAACAAAGGCCGTTCAAGAACATCTTGCGTCTTTTTTCCGCCACCTTGCCATGTCCTCTTTCCATTGGACGACGTTCGCCGGCCAGAAGTCTAAGCGCTGAGGAGGGAGACGAAGTTTTGATTGATTCTTTGAGCCGACCTCGCTGAAAGACACTTCAGAGGCAACTAAAGACCATTATCTCGGCGTGAATTATTTCCTTCTATACGTTTGTTGCTGCTGTCCTATTCCCAGGTTACTCAGTTTAGTTTCTGAATTAAGTGGCCTGTCAATATTCATAGCTGAATCATGTATCGCACAAGGCATACAAAGGGCCACAGACATCCTGAAGAACCCATTTCATCTGCTGTACAACAGCCTAATACTGAATAGGGCTCTTGATCGGAAACCTGAAACAGCCTTAAT